GAAGGGTCCAAGCTTCCCCCTCACCGAAAATCACGGGGCTGCTCCTTTTGTACCCCGCGAACCCCCACACAAGCTCTCCCCCCAGGCACAGAACAAGGTGACGGGGACGTTGGCGGCCGCCAAGGTGATCGACACCCCGAGCGAGGAGGAGCTGGAGGACTACGTGGTGGAGATCGAGATCTTGGCTTGCTGCGACCACCCCAACATCACCAAGCTGCTGGATGCGCTCTACTGGGACGGGCGGCTCTGGGTGAGCTGTGGAGGGTGCTGGTCCCCCCACCCCGGGCATGAACCGGGGTCCCACCGGCATCTCGGGGATGGGGGACTCGGTCTGGAGGGGACACGTTTACAGACCAGGGTGGGAAACCTCTCCCTGCAGATCCTGGTGGAGTTTTGTCCCGGAGGGGCCGTGGATGCAGCAATTTTGGGTAAATAAATGGTTTTTTCCAGCTGGCACGCGGCCGTCAGAGGGTTTGGGGTGGGATTGCCAAATTTCACGGCATGGAAGGGAGTCCTGGGCTTGTGCAGCATCTCCAGGAGGGAGGATGGGTTGGGGTGCATCTTCCTCTGGGTACCCCCCGGCTTTGCGGGGGGATGTTGGGCAGGAGGAAGGGTTTTGCAAATGGTTCGTTTGCGCTAACGGCAGAGCTGGAGAAAGGCTTGACGGAGGAGCAGATCCGAGCGGCTTGCAAGCAGCTGCTGCTGGCGCTGCAGTACCTGCACGGTTGCAAGATCATCCACAGGGACGTGAAGGCTGGTAACATCCTGCTGACCCTCGACGGGGACGTCAAGCTGGGTGAGTCCCAGGGGAACTGGGGCCCCTTGGGGTAGAGGGAGACCAGGAGTGAAGTCCCAGGGATGCTTTTCCCCAGGGATCCTCTCTAACAGCCGCTTTCTGCTCTGCAGCCGATTTTGGCGTCTCGGCCAAAAATTCCAGCACCGTCCAGCGGCGGGTGTCCTTCATCGGCACGCCGTACTGGTAGGTGTGGGGCAGAAATCCCTGGGGATGGTGGGATTTGGGAGTGCAGGCAGGTGGGTTGGGGGAGCCCGGGTATCCTGCTCCTCCTGTGGATGCTCCCAACCGGATCCTCCAGGAGCATCTCAAAAAACCAGATCTTTCCTCTTCCAGCCAACATCAGCTCCAGGGTAGGCTTCTCAGTAGCGTGAGACTTTGTATGGAGAGGACACGTGGGGTGCTGGTGGGTGCAAGCCCTCCTGGGGTACGTTGGAGGAATTGGGGGTTGAATCTCACCTCTTCTGCCTGTAGGATTGTCTCTGGAGGAGATGACACCTGGTTTGGTTTCAGGGGAAGATACTAGCTCCCAGGCCAGGCTGGACCTCTTCCCCTCTCTCCCATGCACAGGATGGCCCCGGAGGTGGTGCAGTGTGAGACGTCCAAGGAGAGCCCCTACGGCTACAAGGCTGACATCTGGTCACTGGGCATCACGCTGATTGAGATGGCCGAGATGGAGCCCCCCTACCATGAGCTGAACCCACTCCGGGTGCTGCTGAAGATCGCCAAGTCCCAGCCACCCACCCTGCGTCACCCCAAGAGGTGGTGAGTCCCCGTGCAGAGATGTCACCCCAACGCCGGTGACGGTGGGAGAAGTTGTCCCATGGGGCAGCTCCTGCTCAAAGCCATGTCTGGGCAGCTGTGGTGGGCTCTTGGACCATAAGTGATGCTGGTTGTGATTCCTGCAAGCCCAGCTCCAGAGATTTCCCATCACACCGTCTTTGCCTGCAGAAGGTGACAGTGGTGGGCAGCACTGGGGTGGGGACCTCCTGCCAAGGTGCTAGCAAAGCCTGAGTGTCCCTAGCATCACCCCAAGGTCTGTGGGGTCCACGGTGGGGGTGATAGGGAGCTTCTGGCCCCGTGCTCACAGGGACCATCCCACAGGTCTGAAGACTTCAAGGACTTCCTGAGGAAATCCTTGGAGAAGAGCCCCGAGGCGCGGTGGTCAGCCAGCCAGCTCCTGCAGGTGGGTAGCACCCATCGTCACCTGCCTGGGGTGGTGGGACCCATCCCCAGTGCTGGCCCCACTCACCTCCCTCGCTCCCACCCAGCACCCCTTCGTGGCGGGCATCTCCGACAAGCGGCCGCTCCGGGAGCTGGTGGCCGAAGCCTGGGCTGACGTGCTGGAGGAAGAGGATGAGGATGAAGGTGCGGTCCCCTTGGTGCGTAGCGACTGGCTGGGGTGCAAGATCCCTCCAACCCTTTCCACGAGCTCGCTGAGCCTCACCTCTCCCCTCCTTGTCCACCCCACAGCCTGGGCAGGAGCACGGAGAGTCCTCCTGCCCCCCGACCCCGGGGGGTCCCCCGGAGCATCAGCCCCCAGACAGAGCAAGGAGAGTCGGCGCGGAGCCGGGCATCCCATCTGACATCCAGGTGGTGGCAGAGCCCAGGACCAAGAGAGTGTCCGACTTCTTGAAGCAAATGAGGAGGAGGTCCTCGCCCGAGCCCACGGGCTCCATGAGGCTCCCTGCGAAGAGGCCGTCCGAGTTTCTGAAGCTGATGCGGCGCAGATCGTTTTTTGGAGGGATGAAGTCCCAAGAAACAGCTAAGGAGCAGCACGGGGCAGAGCCGAATGGGTTGGAGATTACGGTGCTGGATGCTCCTCAAGGGCCATCAGTCCCAGCAGAGGCAGGAGGAGAAGTTCAAGGGTGTCAAGAGGAGGAGACCAGCCCTCTGGGGACCCCCTGCAATGTGGCCGAGCTCCCCTCGGGGCCACAGCGGGCAGGAGACCTTGCTGAACTGCAAGAGCTGAAGGCAGAGCAGGTTGGACCCAAGGCAGAGCCCCAGGAGGAAAGCCAACAGGCCAACGCATCACCGGTGGCCGAAACACCTACGGAGGGACAGCTTGCAGCCCAACCGAGCCCTGTTTTGACCCCCAAAATGGATACAAAGAAGGAATCAAGCAGAGACCCTACTTTTAACTCACTGGCCCTGCCTGCACCCACGGATGGGGACTGGCGCAGAGGCTCGGCCATGGGGCAGCTGGTGGCAGCCCTGGACCTGTGGACCATGGGGACCAAAACCCAGAGCTTCAAGTCGCTGGCAGAGCATCAGCACCGGGTTACTCGGTCATTGCTAGACCTGAAGGTTGAGGTTGGCTCCACTGGGGCTGAAGATGGCCTTGGGAAGGATGGTGATGGAGCAGGGAGGGCACCCATGGGACCTGAGGGTGCTGGAGAGCCTGGGGAGACTGAGCTGGTGGAGGAGAGAGTGCCATGGGGTGACGAATCGCTGATGCCCAGTGTGACGGAGGAGGTAGTGGTGGGGTCAGACGTTCTCAAGGAGTGGCAAGAGCCTCCGGATGCTCTGGGAGAGGCCGGAGAGAGGAACAATGGGGAGACAAACTCAGCCATGTGCGAGCCCATCGCTGACCCTCTGGACCTGGTTGAGCAGGAGGTGGGGAGGAATGAGGAGGAAGCCACAGACAACGCTGAAACTGGGGTGGAAACTTCTCCCAAGGAAGCCCTGGTGCCAGCAGAAGTGAAATTGGAAGAGGGTGTTGTAAAAAGGTGTTTGACTGGAGACCGTAAACCAGTGGGAGATGCAGCCAGCCCGGGGGGAGTGATGCTGGCAGGAGAGGAACCGGAGGCAGCCTCCGTAGCGTGGGCAGGAGGGCGACCTGCAAGTGAGGAGGCCCAAAATTCAGCAGAGGATTCGTCCCCCGTGGAGGAGATCCTGGGGTGTCTTGAAGAAGAAACAGAAGAGAAAGCTGAAAACAGCCCCAGAGAAAACCAGCCAGGAGCGGCTCATGGGAATGGCTGGAAAGGACAAGATGGAAATGATGGAGAGCTTGGAGAAGATGGGGTGCAGGTTGCTCCAGCTCCTGAAGGGCCATCAAGGGATGGACCTGGAGAGGAGATGGGTGGCTTGGAGGGTCACGGAGCAGTGCCAGAGCCCCAGGAGGCCCTTGGTGGACATCCAAAGGCCACAAAGACTGTGAGCTTTGATGCTGCCCTTGTCCGCACCTCTTCCCAGGCGCGGGCAGCGTGGGAAGCAGGGAACACAGATCCATCCATCACGTCAAAGCAAGGAGAGGAGCCATCCCCTGTGGAAAATCCTGCAGATGTACAAGGTCCAAGTGCCCTCCCTGCAGCAGCGCAGCCTTTCCCCTCTGCCGGGGAAGCCCAGCAGGTAAGAAGCTTGCAGGTAACATGGCCACGTGGAGCTGACCCCCTTGGATGGGCTCCCATGTTGGGTTTACGTAGTTTTGGGCTGTCTGAGCTCAAACTGTTGCTCCCGGTCGCAGGAACCTGCCTCGCTCCAAAGGACAGTCAAGAAAACCCGGAGGTTTATGGTGGATGGGGAGGAGGTGAGAGTGACAACTGCCAGGACCGTCGGCAAGGCTGGGGCGAGGGACGAGATGGTGCGCTCGGCTCGGTGAGTGATGCTGGTAGTGGAGGGGCCACCAGGCATCTCCCATCCGTTTCTGGACAAGGAGGACCCAGGGGCAAAGGAGAGAGGGTGCCGAAGGGAGGATGGGTCTGTGGGGCTCTGTGCAAAGCACAAGTGCTTGACCTCCAGGCTTGGAAAACCCATCTGCCTCCCTGGCTGGGGTCTACTCCAGCAGGAGAGCATGAGCAAGCCCTTCCCTGCATCCTCAGGGCTGTGCAATAGGGACGCATGAGGAGCCGAAACGTTGCCCAGCCCCATATCTGGTGTGCCCAGCAGCCAGCTTAAGGAAAGAAGAGGGAAGATCTTCTCCCATAAGCTCTCATGTCACCCAAAGAGAGTAGGAAAGGATGAAGGGGGAGATGGAGGGGCAGCGACATCAGCTGAGCTTGGGAGCGTGGCTGCCGCAGACCCAACCGGGTGTCCCATCTTCTTTCTTGCTGGAGAAAGTCTTCTCCATGACGTTGCACCAGGGCTGAGCTTCTACCTTCCTTTAGCCACCTACAAGTCAGCCATCCTGGGAGAGAGAGAGGTGCCTCCAGGGCCACCTTCGGCCCCCTCTCACCCTGATTCCCCAAACCTTTAGGCGCCAGGAGCTCCGCGAGCTGCGAGTGCTGCAGAAGGAAGAGCAGCGAGCTCAGAGCCACCTGGAGCAGAAGTTTCACCAGCAGCGGGAGCAGATGTTTCGTCACATCGAGCAGGAGATGATGGTAACCGGACCATCGTCCCTTGGTGCCATGATATGGTCAGAGGGACATGTGCAAGGCGGGGGGCTGGGGTTCCACTGTGGGAGACGCCAGGGTCTGGGCGGCGGTTTGGTTGCTTCGGTGGCCACTTCTTCTGGTCCCTGCAGCCCCGTTAACCATATCTGCATGGCAGAACAAGAAGGAGTTTTACGACCGGGAGGTGGAGAGCTCGGAGCGGTGCTACCGGCAGCTGAAGGAGCGCCGGGAGCTTGAGTACACGGCGAGGCTGCAAGACGAGGCCAAGCGCCTCAAGTCCCTCCAGGAGAAGGACTGTGGGAGGAGGATGCAAGAGCTGAAGGGCGACGGGAGAGAGGTGAGGGGCTGGGGCAGCACTGGCTCCCCCGGCCGGGCCACCAGGAGCCTGGGGACCGTCTCCCCTGGGTGCTGGGACCAAGCCCCTCCGTTGCTCACCGCAGGAGCAGCGGTTCCTGCAGCAGCAGCAGGAGGAACTCAACGCAGCCCTGCAGAGGGTCGTCCAGGAGCACAAGAAGAAGATGACGTCCATCGACTGGGAGTACATCAGCAAGATCCATAGCCTCAGGAGAGGTGCACTGGGCTGGGAGGGGGAGGACGGAACATTCTTGGGGAGGGAAGCAGGGGGTCTGGCTGGGGGTTTTTGGAGGTGGTTACGGTGCTGTGGTCTTGCCCGGCAGCCCGCGAGTCGGTGGTGTGGAGCATGGAGCAAGGGCACCTGCAGGAGAAGTACAAGCTCTTCAGGCAGCAGGTAAAGGAGCAGCACGTGCTGCAGAGGCAGCAGCTCCGCAAGCGCCATGAGAAGGTGAGGTGGGAACTGCGGGCGATGCTCCCCCAGCCCCACGGGCTCCCAACCCCTCTCCTGACTCACCCTCCTGCCCCTTTCCCAGGAGACAGAGAGGATGAACCGCTTCCACCAGCTCTTGCTGGAGGATCTGAGGAGCCAGCAGGCGCAGGAGCGGGCTCTGCTGCTAAAAAGCCAGCGCTGCGATGCCAAAATCCGCCTGGCCCTCTTCAAGGACAACCTGAAGATCCAGGAGGCTAATGGGGCCAAGCAGAGGGAGAGGGCCAAGCAGGTACAAGGACCTGTTCGGGGCCAACAAGGTTCCCCAGCACAAAGTATGGGGGAAGTCCCCGAAAAGCTGTAAGCGATGGCTTTTGGGGAAAGGGAGGGTGACGTGGGCTGTCCCCCACCGCAGTTCATGCAGCAGGAGGAGAGGCGGCAGCGAGCAGACAGGAGGCTAATGGGGCCAAGCAGAGGGAGAGGGCCAAGCAGGTACAAGGACCTGTTCGGGGCCAACAAGGTTCCCCAGCACAAAGTATGGGGGAAGTCCCCGAAAAGCTGTAAGCGATGGCTTTTGGGGAAAGGGAGGGTGACGTGGGCTGTCCCCCACCGCAGTTCATGCAGCAGGAGGAGAGGCGGCAGCGAGCAGAGGCGCAGCAGCAGCAGGAGCAGCAGGCGCCGCCGCTGCGCGCGCGGCAGACGGAG